CTTGATAGCAGATCTGATGAAATAGCTGTAGTGTATTAAGATCTAATTTTTAAAATTGTAATTTAATCTAATGAAAATTTTAAATTAATTTAAATTAAAATTTTAGATTAAAAAATACATTTGGCATGAACTTTGAGAAACTACTGAACTTCTACCCCTTTAACAAATGTATGTACATCAAAATCTATAAACAATTCAGGGAGTTTTTAGATCCATTCAGTCTTATTCTTAGGTTCCAGGTTTAAGTGTCTAGGGTTTCTTTCAATATTCCCTAATCATGGGCATTCCTGAGGCTTTGAAACAGCATATTCATTCTTTTTTTTTTTTTTTTTTTGCGGTACGCGGGCCTCTCACTGTTGTGGCCTCTCCCGTTGCGGAGCACAGGCTCCGGACGCACAGGCTCAGCGGCCATGGCTCACGGGCCCCAGCCGCTCTGCAGCATGTGGGATCTTCCTGGACCGGGGCACGAACCGGTGTCCCCTGCATCAGCAGGCGGACCCTCAACCACTGCGCCACCAGGGAAGCCCCAGCATATTCATTCTTTACTTCGTTAGAAGAGCTAGGCTAGGTGTCTGCAAATCAGGAAAATACATGATTAGGTTATTATTTCTGACCTGATGCTCATTTCAGTGTATGGAATATTTGAACCATATATTAACTATTAATTTGAACACACCCATCTTGCTTATTTATTAACAACTTTAGTGAAGAAATAACCTCAGTGGCACTGAAGAAACAAAGATCTCTAATAATCATAAGCTCCAGTCATTATGTGGAATCACAATTGGGTTATTGATAGAGGCTGAAAGGATATTGAGGACATGATAGAAAAAGCCTAGATTGCCTTGAACACACTGTTAGTGGAAATGCAGACGTTAAAACTCTGCAAATGAGGACTGCCTCCAAGGGCAATGGCTGCCCTTGCCCTGTTCAGATGCAGGGCTGTGTCTGAGCCGCTTCATTCCCCCGAAGTGCACATTCTCCTCGGCAATAGCAGCCTTCACTCTAGTGGGGACCGCACTGGAGCAGGAGCCTAGTGCAGGCCTGGTGTGCACTGGGCTGGTCCCAGGAAACCGGCCAGATCCGCAAGAGTTTCAATCTGCTTCCTCTGCTTTGTTCCTGGGAGTGAGCAGGCGTGTATACACACTCTTCATAAGCGAAGGCTTGGTTTCTTACAGCCCTCTGGTAAGTCCCACTGGTTTTCAAACCAGCTAAGGGGATTCATCGTCCCTGTGTGGGACCCCAGGGCATGATAACTTTTATGGAGAACAAAGAAGAACTCTGAGGATGAAGCAGTAAGCCCAGAGGTTAGAGCTTCAATCTCACAGGGCTGAGTTTCAAATCGCAGAGGATTGTTTCCAGTCCTTAATAAGGAATTTTGACATCCAGATGGGCCAACAATATTAGTTGGCCCATTTGGATGTCAGAATTTCTTATGACCAGTGACTGATGCTTTCCTTCCACTTCGTTGCATTTAGATTAATAAAATCAGTAACCAGTGTCTTATACCTGCCCCACTATTGTTTCTTGGAAGCAGAAAACTTGTTTCCTGATTTCATAGGTCCACAGATGGAGAGAAATTTTGCCTCTGGGTTGATCATACCCAGACTCTCACCCATACTTATTAAATTATTTGGATGTTATAATTTGGGACATTTGAGCCAATGATATTTAGATGAGATTTTGAACTATGAGTTGGTAGTGTAAAAGTTTGAGACCTTTTGGGATGTTGAGATGGGGTGAATGAATTTTGCATGTGGGATGTACATGAGTGTTTGAGGTGCAGAGAGCAGAACATAATAATAGGCAGATAATGCCCCCCCCCCTCACAAAGATATCCATGTTCTAATTCTTGGAACCAGTGAATGTTCTACCTTACAAGGCAAAGGGACTTTGCAGATGTGATTGATATAAGGATCTTGAGATGGGGAGATTATCCTGGATTATCCAGATGGAGTCAGTGTAATTACAAGAAATGAAAGAAGATAACAGGAGAATAACAGAAGGAATGTGATGGTGGAAGGAAAAGTCAGAGTGACGTGATTGCCAATTGGAAGGAGGCTATAAGCCAAGGAATGCAGGCAGACACTAAAAGCTGGAAGAGGCAAGGAAACGATTGTCCCCTTGAGCCTCCAGAAGGAATGCAGGCCAGCCCACATCTTGCTTTTACTCACATAAGACCCATTTTGGACTTCTGATATCCAGAACTGTAAGATAATAAGCTTGTTTTTTTTTTTTTTTTGCCACTAAGTTTACAGTAAATCTTTGCAGCAACAATAGGAAACCCATGCAGCCATCATAGGTGGTCAGGTCGCTCCAGGAGGCAGGAGAGCAGGTTGCTAAAGGCAGTTTTGAGGGGCACTAATTACAGTACCTATTGTATTGTGATTTGGACAGATTCTAGATGTTTTGTTATTTGGGACCGTATCCAAAGGGCTGATTTTCAAGCAATGAGCATACATGGACTTAAGTAAAACATATAAATGAGAAATATGTTGTCTCCAGAATGCAAAAAGAACTAAAAGATGTTGGACCCGTTGAAATATTATGGTGTCAATAGTTGTTTCTTGACAATGTCAGTGATAGAAAAACCTTAGACTGACCAAATCTTCCCCAGGAATTTCACTTAGGTACTGGGTCTTGAGCTTTGTGTAGGGACAGTGGCACATCCCTTCATGTGAACTACTTTGAGAACGTTTCTGCCTTGAATGAGTGTGTGAAATGAATCTCCTTGGAGGAGGATGTCCTTAATGTAATTAATACCTATGCTTCTGGGGAAAGTTGGATGTGGTTAACATTTTGCCAACAAAGATTGTGGCCAATGGTAGACCTGTTGAAATGTCTCATTGGCAACCAGTTAGAGGTATACTATGCCTCTTCCAAGGTGAAGGCAAACTGCAGTTGAGAGCCTGGTAAAATAGGTACTGAACAGAACATATTAGCCAAATCTATGACTGCCAAGTATTTTTTAGTAGATCCTTGGATAGAGTCAGTCATTTCACTGAGGTTGGATATGGGAGCTGTAATGTGTGGGACCATGCAATGATCTGTTCCTGGTCACTATGCACAATTTGGTTGGACGTCATGACTGATGTAGGCACAAATGCATTAAGAAGAGTATGGAAGGTTTATTACTCAAATAATAAGGATTTTTTGAAAGAACAGGACAAGTTCCCAAGCCCCTGAAAAGTGGCTATCGAGAGTAGGGAGGGATGACTAGCTTGAAATTTTATTGTGGGCAGGGGGTTGGGATGTGGTGAGGGTTCCGCCTCATGGGCCTGACTTGCATGGTTTGAAACTCCCACTTAGGGCCACGGGAGGGAGCATGCAGGCTTTCTTACCAGTTTGCCCAGGTAATGCACAGAAGAGGGAATGGGAGATAGGGCTTGAAGCCTGCTAGCGGTCAAACATCAGCATCAAACATCAAACTCATGGGTAATCGAGGAGAAGCCAAGTTGGTACGTAGAGGTGCAGAAGATTACTATTTTAATTAAGCCATTCAGTACTTTCTACTGAATCACAAACTATTTGGATATATCACTTTAAATAATGAAGTTGAATTTTTCTAAAGCAGAAAGAGCAGAGGCTCTGGAATCAACCTTGACAAATTATCTTAAACTAATTAACTTTATTTTCTCAGCAATAAAATGAGACAAGTAGCTATACATTCAATTAAGGCTTTAAACGGAAGTTTCCATAATTTAAACTAAAAAGCATTCCTGAATCATTGTAAGGTTCTCAAGAAATACTTTCATATACAAGATTGAATAAGAAAGCAACCAAATGGAACAAAAACAATTCAAAAGACACAATCGAATGTTGGTATCATCATTCTAATGTTAATCCATGTTGTGTGACACATTTAACATTTAACCCATTGGTGTTTCTTAGGTTTTACAGAGGAGGAGAAATCATACAAAGTTATTAACTGGTTTCTACCTGAAGACGATAACAAAGAATTTAAGAAGTCTTTTCATTTCTTTATGGAAGAAACTTTTGAGGGCAGGTAATTTTTTAAATTATTTGAACTAAAGAGTCACAGTTTTGGTAATATAAGTGAATGGGTGGATGCTTGGACTGAGGATGTGATAAAGGGATGGTTGGATGGATGGAGAGGGGGAGGGAGAGAGGGATGAATGATGATGATAGTTGGGTAAACAAGTTATTTCACACCAAATCCTCCATTCCAGCCATTGGAGGCTTTCCCTTGCTCTGTTCTACTTTAAGCATGAAGGTATTCCTGTAGCAACTGGGAGGTAGTTTCTTCTGGGGCTTCCTTGCAACACTTCACTTACAATCTTTGTCTGTAATCTCCCCAACATAGAAGCATAGGTACCTCAACCTCTCACTGTTGGTAGGGAAATCAAAGACACCTTTCCATTTATTTTTTTCCTTTCTCCTCACATGTATTTATTAATGGAGAAGACTTTTAAACAATGATTTTGTAGAAGTTCAGCTTCTGGCCATGTAAAGTCCTTTTAAAATGCAGTCAACCTCGTGCAAAATAAGACATGAAGCTGACTCCTTTTGCTTCATCTGGAATGGAAAGGAACACATAACTCCTTACTCATAGACATAGAAGTGAAAAGACAGAAATCCATGCCTATCTGGATTAATTACAGAGGACTAGTCCCCTCTTTTCTTCCTGAAAATCTATTTACTAATAAAGGTACTGCTTAAATCTGACTATTTCCATAAAACCTCCTTTCCTCACTCAAACTGGAAGACCATAGTCCCTCTGGGATAGGTCTGACCTAACCTACTCATCTGATACTTAGTCTGTATCGTCTTGCGACGTTATTTATACATTTTAACTATATACTTTGTCTATTCTCCCCCAATTTCATATTTTTGAGGACAGATATAGGTAACCATGCATTCTTGATATTTTTCTATTTGTTAGCTTAACTTTAACTATGATTAACAAATTATATTTTAGGAATTTTTACAGCATTACTGAAGTTATCCAAAAGTTTTAGTAACCATTCCTTTGTTATGTGAAATCTTTAAAACACAGCAGGGGATGATTTGAGACAATCACTTTCATTGTGTGACTTGAAGTTAACCCTGAAGATCAGGCAGAGATATGTGTATTGCTAATGACTTCTCAGCCTCTGTACAATCTCTACCTGGGGCACAATGGTGCAATGGTGGACAATTATAACTATGCCAGGGTACCGATTCTCTTGGTCCTCCATGCAGCCAGGAGGCCTCTGATGTCTCGAGCCCTTGCACTTATTACCTCTAGTATCTTAGAGTGCAGATGGATATCCTATTTCCCCATATGTTGTACAAACAGGAAACAGGGTCATAATCTATATAGGCAGTGATGGGAAAGCGTTGCAAGAAGATAGGTTCCTGGAATAATCTCATAAACAATGTCTTAATTACATGTCAGAAAGCTTTGCCATTATCTTCTCTGTATACCTTAGCCTGCACTGAAGTGAAAGGCTAATCATATGTTTCAGAACCAGGTTTCTTTTCCCTTTGTTTAACCTCTGGGCTAGCTGAGATTTTGTTCTAATATGATCAAATAATCCCTTGGGTGAGGAAATCTGTCATATGTGAATACACAGTAATTTTTAAAAAATAGCCTATATTGTCAGTATTTATGGGATTGTGTCATCAAGTGACTTGCACTGTTTTGCTAAGTAAACAAGAAAACCACTCATAAAAGTTCAGTATGTAAGTGAAGTTTAAGGAAAGTGTTGCAGAATTTATCAAGTAGAAAGAGATCTGTGAGGTCTGCTGTGGTCAAAGAAGCCTCCCAGAGCAGAAGCCCCATTGAGGGCAGTTCATTTTCAGTTAACATGATGCATCTGTGCCCATGGATTTCAGGAATGGAGAGTTCAAAGATATATTTTCTAAGAACTGGCATAGAGAGTGCTGGGGATTTGGAGCAGTGAGGAAAGGGAGGGGGGACGAAGGGAACACTCTCAAGAGCAGAACATCTGCCCAGAGTGACTAAGGTACATATTTATGGACAGTGTAGAATAGGATGGCTGCTGTTGGGTGTGGTCTTACCTACCTGGAATATTTTCTTTGTATCCCAAGATTTTTTTTTTTTAATTGACGAATAGTTGATGTACAGTGTTTGAGGTATTCAGCAAAGTGATTCAGTTCAGTTATACGTATATATGTATATATATATATATATATATATATAT